ATCTGGACCAGGGAGGAGAGTCCAGCTAGTCCCATGGGACAGGAGTTGCCACGTGACCTTTTGAACAGTCTGGAGACCCAGTCGTGGTTCTTGATCCATGGATCGAGAAACCCAGTTCTAAGGGAATTATGGGAATTATGGAGCCCCCTGATGGTGAAGAGCATAATAGCCATAATCGGGAGCTAATCAAACATGTTTGCAGCGATTGAGCCAGAGGGTTGGACCATCTCCAGCGAAGCCCATGTAGCTCTGCCAATTTTCACAAGCAGATTGCTTACATCTGTGCTAAAGCACATCCTTAAACAGGCAGCCAGGGCTCTCCCATCTCTGGAACTGTCTGTGCTCAGAAATATGTCAGGGTGAGGGCACAATGCAGTCACATTTAATTAGCATTTGATTGGTTAAAAACCTCCTCATTTGTCCATTTTATTATTCCTGACACAGTTATGGAAACAGGCATCTCTGGAGGCAGCAGAAGTGGCTCGTGAATGCCACTGGTGGGGAGTGAATTTCATAGAAGGCAGGTTTAGGTTTTCCACCATTAGGGCCCTTAAACTTGGAATCTAAAGCACCAAGAGGTAGGGTGATGGCTGTTTTAAGGATCAGTAAAACTGTACTCCATTCATGCACCACGACAGAGGGTGTGTCTAGACTACTGAGTTTTGTCGACAAAAGTGGACTTTTGTCGACAAAACTATACCAGCGTCTACACTACCGCTGAGTTCTGTCGACAAAGCAAGCTGTTTTGTCGACAGAAGTTTTGTCGACAGTATCTGTCGACAAAACGTCTGTCGACAAAGAGCGTCCAGACACATTGAGGTCTGTCGACAAAGCAAGCTGTTTTGTCGACAGAAGTTTTGTCGACAGTATCTGTCGACAAAACGTCTGTCGACAAAGAGCGTCCAGACACATTGAGTTCTGTCGACAAAACCCGGTAGTGTAGACGTACCCTAAGACATGAAATAACTTTGGGGCAGGGAAAAAAACTTTTCAGGGGCCTCAAGTTAGGTTAAAAAGCCTTCTCTGGCATTTCAGAGTCCATCTGTACAGGGCGACACCCACCCCACCCACTCATCCCAGTTACTATCCTCTATCCTTTCCTGTAGCTTAACCCCTTAAACACCAAAAGGCTGATCATCCTACAAACATACAATACTAATGGCAGTTCTTCCACCTCCGGAATTCTTGGTCCTGACTTTGGGTACGTCTAGACTACATGCCTCTGGCGACAGAGGCATGTAGATTAGACTACCCGGCATAGGAAAATGAAGCGGCATACCTGGGAGGTTGACAAGTGCCTTCGATGTTGACCACGGAATGTCCAGACTACCGTGCTGAGCCGACAAACAGCTGATCGGCTCAGCGTGGCAGCCATGTAAATTTAAATTTAAATTTTCCTATGCCGGGTAGTCTAATCTACATGCCTCTGTCGCCAGAGGCATGTAGTCTAGATGTACCCTTTGAGTTAACAATGCCTTCCTCTCTCCTGATTTTAGCCCAACCACACTCTGATTTTACCAAGGCTCAGGTGCATCTCACTGCTTCCCAGATGGAGGGGCCTCTTTGAGCCAACTCTGAATTCCCCAGCTGGGACTTAATTCCTACAGCCCCATACTAGTGGCTGGATAGTGCCTTCCGCAGGCCATGCTTGGGACAGACACCTCTACTCTATTCAAGGGAGCAGTGAAAGACCCACCTTGCCCTTCACAAGTACAAACCCAGCACTTTAATGTGAATAGCACCCCCGGAGAGGAGTAGCAGGCATTTCCCTTAGCCTTGCCCTTCACAAGTACAAACCCAGCACTTTAATGTGAATAGCACCCCCGGAGTGGAGTAGCAGGCATTTCCGTCGTACATGGACCAAAGGTTACATCAAGGGTGTGTCTAGACTACTGAGTTTTGTCAACAAAAGTGGACTTTTGTCGACAAAACTATACCTGCGACATAACGTCGACAGAACTCAGCAGTTTTGTCGACTCTGGTAAACCTCATTTTACGAGGCATAACACCTTCTGTCGACAGAGTTCTGTCGACAGAAGGTGTTATTGCCTGTAGGGTTGCGTCTAGACTACAGGGTTTTGTCGACAAAGCAGCTTGCTTTGTTGACAGAACTGAATGTGTCTAGTCGCTCTATGTCGACAGAAGTTTTGTCGACAGTATCTGTCGACAAAACTTCCGTCGACAAAACCCTGTAGTCTAGACGTATCCCAAGAGTCAGCAGAAGAGCCAGAAATGGAGGCAAGTGGTTTCTAATGGCCTCCAGCAGAAGAATACCAAGAATCAAACCCGGGTCTTTTAAAACTCCATTCACCACCCTAATGTCAAGGCCCTTGTGCATACCAGTTAAAAAGAGAGTGTTGGGGAAAGGGCCCCAGGAGCTCTTCAAAACATTGAAAGCCCACATTGGCTTTAAGTTGTGTAAAAAGAATATGGGAGCTCTTCCTTCTCCCCACACTGGGTCCCCCTTTCAGGGCCCCAGGAGCTCTTCAAAACATTGACAGCCCACATTGGCTTTAAGTTGTGGAAAAAGAACATGGGAGCTCTTCCTTCTCCCCACACTAGGTCCCCCTTTCGTGCCTAGTGTGATGCTAGCTATTAAGGTGAGGTAGGGAGAAAATGACAACTTGGATGCAATGCTGTAGATGTGCCAGCCCCAGGATGCTTGAGAGACAAGGTGGGGGAGGTGACATCTTTGATGGGACCGACTTCTGCTGGTGAGAGAGACAAGCTTTCGAGCTGACACAGAGCACTCCACAAACAACGCGCCCTAGAAAATGGGTGCCTGTATATTTAGTGTTGCATAGGGATTCGTCAGGTACAGAGACTACAGAATCCAACGAGTGGTCACCTCCTGTGTGCCAGGGAGTTCACACTGGTTTCAGCCCTTCTGATCTAAAAGGAATCCCTTATGCATCTGCTGTCCCCTACTTGCCGGAAAGGGATTTCAAGACACAGAATTATTTCACATCATGTTACAAATACCTCTGCATTCCAGTTGTGGGAAGTACTGGCCAGGAACACCTTTCCACGGGAGGACACTGGAACAGGATTGAAACGGGGTCACTCCGATGACACTGCATAACACCCGTCTGTTCTCTGTCTCCTTGCACCCTCTTTAAACTCCCCTTGAGAAAGTCAGCACTGCTTTTAGCTGCAGATTTGGCACCACACATACATGTGCAGTGAGGCTTTGGCATGGAAAGAAAGCTCAGACAGCTTATCTCTCCCTTCCTATCTGTTACAGAGTGCTGTTCTGCGCTGATTAACGGCTGCTACATTCCACCTAGAGGTGGTAGCACTTCAGTAGGGAGGAAATGGTCTGTGCATATTCTCTCTCTCTGATCCCCTAATTGTAAAGAAGTTTGTGAAGAAATCAAGTATCTTTTATCACATACTTATACTGTATCCTGAGACATACTACATACATGCAAATAAAGTAATTACAAATAAATATTGAATACGGGTGCCATTTTAGACTACTGACCCTCAATCCTGTTTTTGGACTGTTGTGTCCCATATCACAAACAGTCCTTGGTCTAGAGAAATACTACCAGAATTCTTGGTTTAAAATCAATTAAAAACAAGAGAGATGGCAAATAACCCATAAAGTCGAAAGATGAGGCCTCCCAACTAAACTCCAACATCCAAAACTGACTGAACGTGGGAGTGTTCAAAGATCACGACTTTCTGACCTCTCTAATGAGGTTAATCCCAGCTAGTGCTGAGCTGATTGTTTTCTACAGGGTCTCTTCTTGTGCTTTGTTCTGGTCTAAAATGACATAGGCCATAAACCTTCCATCAATTCCCTTGTGAGAGTATTCCAGACTAGAATGTAATAATCCCCACTTCACTCCAGCTCTGCACCTGTTGTTCCAACATGCCTGATGATTATGCTCTGCACACGCAAGAAAGCTGCTATGCTTTGAGACACTTAGTTTAGCTCTGCTGATGAAAATGTAAAGTATAACAAATATCTATCTTCCTCATCCTCTGCCAGAGGGGTGATTCAAGGTGTGTGAGGATCATCACTGAGCAGTAACAATAGATATCTCAAATAGCTCAGCCATAGCCTATTTTAAATGCAGGATAGAACTATGCCAACAGCTGGGGTTGAACCCAGAACTTATTGAACTAAATGCCTCAGTCACAAATTCTTGAGCTAAAGCAGAAGAATGGCCATAATGATAATGTCCATCTAGCCCTGTAACCTGTCTTCTGACAATGGCCAGTAACAGGCGCTTCAGAGGGAATAAAGAACAGACAATCATCAAGTGATCTATGCCCTGTTGCCCTCTCTCTGCTTCTGGCTAATAGAATCATAGAATCATAGAGCTGGAAGAGACCTCAGGCGGTCATCAAGTCCAGCCCCCTGCTCTTGGCAGGACCAATCCCAACTAAATCAACCCAGCCAGGGTGCTGTCAAGCCGAGACTTAAAAACCTCCAGGGATGGAGATTCCACCACCTCCCTAGGTAACCCATTCCAGTACTTCACCACCTTCCTAGTGAAATAGTGTTTCCTAATCTCCAACCTAGACCTCCCCCACTGTAACTTGAGACCATTGCTCCTTGTTCTGCCATGCCATCCTCCAGCAGCAGAATGTCAGGAATCAAACCCAAGTCTCTTAAATCCCAATCTATCCCCCTAACTACTAGACCACACAGTTAAGAGAGTGCTGGGTAGAGAGCTGCAGAAGCTCTCCTTCAACTCCCTCTGGGTGAGAGACAGAGATGGCCCTTTAACCAAACACATCAGAGCATTAGAAGTCCAGATTTACTTTGAGTTGTAGACAAAGGATATGGACACGCTTACTTCTTCCCAAACTGGGTCCCCCTCTCCTACTTGGTGCACTGCCACACAGAATCCCCGCTTGTATTTAGAAGCAGCGTTAGGCTCATCTCTCTTATATGGACCAACCCCCGGGAGGAGCACAGAGAAAGACCCATATTCTTAGTCTAGGTGTCACTTTTTGCTCTGCACTGGTCACTGGCAAAATCTTACCTGTTGCTTCGACCATTCCTTCCAAGATGACCACAATTTCAAACTCCTCCTTCTCCAGCTGGGCCCGGGACATCTCCCAGAAGGGGCTCTTCTCGTTAATTTCATGCGAGATGATGAGCGGTGACACCAGGAATAGCCTGTCGTCCCCGGTATCAAAGCCCACGTTGATGTCCGTTTGGTTCAAGGGGATGAACTCCCCTTCTTTGGTCTGTTTGGACTTGATCAGCTTGGCTCTAATGGAAGCCTCAACGATGTGGGAATTCCGGAGATCCCCAACCCGGAACATTAGACAGAGCTTCTCATCCCTCATGGAAATCACAGCATTGTTGGAAAACATGAGGGTCTCGGCCCTCTTCTTTGGTTGGCTGATTTTGACAAACATACACCCTACCATGAATGCATTGACAATGGAGCCTAGAATAGCCTGAACCAGGAGCAGTATAATGCCCTCGGGGCACTTTTCAGTGATAACCCTGTAGCCGTACCCAATTGTGGTCTCGGTCTCAATGGAAAACAGAAATGCAGAGACAAATCCACTGAGATTTTCAACACAAGGGATCCAGTTCTCATCTTCAAGATGGTCCAGATCTCCCCGGATGTAGGCGATAAGCCACCAGATGAATCCAAAAAACAACCACGTGACAGTATAGACCATGGTAAAGACGAGGAGGTTAAAGCGCCACTTGAGGTCCACCAGAGTAGTGAAGAGGTCGCTCAGGTAGCGGTAGGTTTCGTGAACATTTCCATGGTGCACATTGCACTTGCCGCTCTTCTCCATATAACGCTGGCGCGGCTTCTTGATTTCTGCTGCCAGCAGACGGGTTCGGTCAGTGGCGATAGGAACGTAGTCCCGCGCCTGTTTGGGAATCTTTTTGGGGTCCCTGGGTGTGACTCCAATTTCCATGTCCTGGTCCATGAAGATCCTAGAATCTCCAGCCATGGTTGGGCTACGGCAGGGTAAAAGGAAACAACATTTAAGATCTCAGGAAAACAGCTTTGTCAAACCAGTGCTGCTTTCAGAGTTAATAAAGGGTTCAGAACACACTGGGCAACATCAACACCACCTTGAAAAGCTTTGTCTCCTAATCATAGAGTGCTAAACTCAAGGGCATCCTGCATTAGAAAAGCTTTTTCATGGGGCCATTCCTCTCTTCTGGGTTTATTTTTGAAGTTTTTTTGAAGATTAAATCATGAGAAGTAATTGTAGAATACCTTTATCATTGCCTCATTTGTAGAGTGCTACCTGAGTGAAGCAGGAGCAATGAACTACTTGCTTTGAAAGGCCCCTTTCTCTTGGTACAGGTTGGACCTCCCTGGTCCAGCACCCTTGGGACCTGACTGGTCTTGGATTAGGGATTTTGCTGGACGAGGGGAGGTCTTTCTGTCCCCCAGCCCTTGCTTTGCTACTGGTCAGAGCCTGACTCTCTCCTCCCATTGCTGCCACCCTACTGCTGTGCGCTGAGCTTCCTGGCCTCCCCAGGTGCACCGGGCTTCCCAGCCCCACTGGATTCCTGGCCACCAGCCCTTTACCCAGGCCACAGATGTTGCCAGACCAGAGAGTCCTGGTTAATAGAGGCTCAGAATGTAGTAAGTGCACATCTCTTGTTACTGATCTGGGACATTTCTTTTTAAACAAAAGCTCTTTGGGCTCCTTTTGTACCAGGCAGAGAGGGATGAGAAGTGAGGACAATTTGGCAATACGTTTTCAAAAGGGACTAATGATTTTCGGTGCATCAACCTGAGAGACCTTGAAGGGGCTGGATTACAAAAAGTGCCAAACACCAACCCTCTGCAAATCACATGCCCTTGAAGGCAATTGCGTACCCCCAAATCTCCAGTCACTTTTGAAAAACCTACTTCCTTAGATCTCTTCTAAAAGGTCATTGTCCAAATCTTTTCTTGACTAATTGGGAACAAACAGAACGGGATGACATGCGCACCTGTCACTTTTGTCAGGTTACAACGTAACATCATCTTCACTGAACGTTAATATTATCACGGAGATATTGCTTTCTTTAATGGAAACCATTTCTTCTATTGAGAACCAAGAATTCCGTTTTCAAACTCAGAGCAGAGAAAGCGTCTCCTGTGGAGAGCTGCCTAAGAAGCCTTCAGGATATCAAAGAGCAGCAGCGTTCTCCAGGATATGTGCTCTCTGCAGCGGTCTTAGCAAATCTTATTAAAACCTAACCAAGTCTATTACAGTACTGTCTTTAATCTTCTTACGCATCTGTGAATGGGAAGAGGTGCAGAGATACAATTAAGAGTGTCTTGGGAAAGACTTAGCTTAAAGCTGAGCAAAGTGACTTCAGTTTTTTCAATATAAAACAGTATTAGGGGTGGGTAGGAAGAAAGCAGAAAGAAATAAACCGAGCAGTGAATTTCTGCTTCCAAAGTGTTGCAGCCAGTTCTGCAATTTCCAGCAGGAGATTTCTCTTACCCTTTGTATTAAAGCCACATAAATCAACCAAAACTCAGTATTTCCAAAGGAGCGGGGTGGGTTTATTGATGCAGCCATGCCTTCTGGTTCACTACAGCAGGGGTTTTCAAACTATGGGTTGCAACCCAGTAGTGGGTCATGGAATGTCAGTCGCTGGGTCTCCTTGCTGCTGGGGGATCAGGTGACCAGTGGGGGGGCTAAGGTTGCTTCCTGCCTGTCCTGGCACCACAGACTGTGCTGCATCCCAAAAGCAGCCACCAGCCAAATGCCCAACTCCTTGGTGGTGGTAGTGGTGGTGGGGAGTGCACAAGGCTCTGTGCACTGCTGTGCCCTGAGCACTACCTTTGCACTCCCATTGGCTGGGAACCTGCTTCTGGGGCGCAGCATGGTCTGTGGTGCCAGGAGAGGCCTTAGGTCCCCCTCCCCCCGCTGCACTGCTGACTGGCAGCTGCCCAAGATAAGCTGCTCCTACCCCAACCCTAAACCCCCCCAAGCCAGAGCCCCCTCCTACTGCCCAAAGCTCTCATCCTCAGCCCCACCCTGGAGTCCACACTCTAGTCGAATTATGTTGGGTTGCAGGCATCAACAGTTTTCTTTAGCTGGGTCATGAGAAAAAAAAACTTTGAAAACCACCGGAGTCAAGTCACCAGAGTCAAGAGGGAAGCGTGCCTTTCTTTCTTTACAGGAGATGTTACTGTCACCAGGTGCACTGCCACTGTAAAGGGCGAGAGGAGAAATTCTGTACCTGCAGCTGGACTCAACATCTCCTCTGCTATCGTTTACCAAAGTCTCTAGCCCTCCAGGCCCCAAAATCCCAGATTATTTAGCATTCCTGAGCCTGCCTAGTGATAGCCCCAGAGTGCATGGGAGGTTGATATGATCTTTGGTGGGGGATAGTAGGGTCTGAGCATAATGGAAGCTGGGTATGGGGGAGGTTGGCAGCTGACAGCAAGAAGGGCGGAATATTTTTCTCCATCCCCATCATGGCTTCCTGTGTTAGAAGAAGAGAGACAGGGTGGCAGTGGAGCTATGTTGCCATCGTTAGCTTAATTTTTTCTGTGTACTGCACCTTTAACTCTCTTGGACTGTCAGGCCTAATTCTCCACCTCCTTGCATCATGCAGGTCCACTGACATCTGTACCCAGTGCGAGTGTCAGAAAGGCAGAGAGCTCGTTCACCCTCCCTTTGCAGAGATGTAAATGCCGGTGCCAGGTGCAAGCCGGTGGAGAATCTGCATAGAAACAGAGGCTCAGAGCAGTGGAGCTAAGTGCTAAGGGAACACACTGGGTAGAGACTGCCCCTTTCTTTCTTTGCTTGCCCTTTTTTATTAACCTCAAACCTGAATGATTGAAATTCAAAAGTTCTGGTTGCTTGAGGGATGTGGAAAGAAAAAAAAAAGCCATTTTGCAGGCACATTTTTGCATGATTCCAGTAAGAAAGACAATAGTGTTAGTTAAAGAGTCTGTGAAGTGAAATTCTGCCATCAACAACAGTGTGAAAGTGAGCACTGCATAGCCCCTGACATGCAGATATGAGCTGCACGACAGGAAAAGATCAAAATCTGGTAAGAAATCACAATCTCTGCACCCTTGACTTACGATGGAACAGCCTGGAGAGATTGGTTATTAATGAAAGGACAATGAAACGTGCCATGAGTGAAAGCACAGAGGAGACTAGCAAAAACTGGCTGCCTAGGACAGCATGTCTTCAACTACAGGCCAAGTGAAATTGCTTGGGAAACCTGGGGGATCCTGGAAAGAAATCTCTCAAAACAGAAGGGTTGTCTCTTGCAGGTGAATTGTTCTGCCTGTTTCATTGTAATTAGAATTTGTCCTAATATTTAATCTTCATTTCCCCTGTTGCACTTTAAGTCTCTTCCAGCTGAGTGATACAGGTAATTGATCACAGCCCTCTTCATGTAGGAGATTAATTCCTCTGCCTTGGAAGAGGAAGTTTGATCTGGAAGTTAGAGGAATTAGAGTACTGGATTGGGAGGCAAGAGGCCAACCTGGGTTCTATTTCTGGCTCTGTCAATAACCAACTTGTCACCTTGAGCAAATTGCTTCCCTTCTTAGGGCCTCAGTTTCCCTCATCTGTAAAACGGGCAGTTAATGCTATTACATTTATAAAACGAGACCTTCGAGTTTCGAAAGCGCCCAGTTGGTGACATAACATACAACGAAATGAGAGAACAGCACAGATATAAGTTTGAATTCCTCCTTTAGTCCTTGTACAAAGCCATCCCCACCATGCACACACATCCTTCATGGTTGATGGTATTTGTGTGCAAGCAGACAAGGGAGAATTAGCTCTCAGTTTGAATCTATTGCCTGAGAGAGCAGTGCTTCACAAAGGTTGGAACTGCCTCTAAGGGTCAGTCACAGACTCACAGGTACCATTATGTTCCACTGGCATTTGCAATCCTTGGTTAAACAAGGCCAGGGTAATGAAAATGTCACTTTTGTGCAAAGCCACATATTCCTTTTAGACAGGCTGCTGGAGCTGCTGCAAAAGGAGATGAGAGTTGGAGCATTATTACTTCTGCAAAGAGGCCTTTTATCAGGTTTCTTGGTATCGCTCAGCTTTCGCCCAGATGCCAGACTTGGGGAGAGGAAGGGGCACTAAGGGAAAGGATCTTAGATTTGCTGAAATAGAACGAGATGAATTTTAGCTAAACTTCAAAGTGCATCATTTTGCCATGGCTGCTTCCAGAGAGAGTCAACGTACCTCCTGCAACCCCAAACACCACAAGAAGTCAGAAACAGATGTCTTTTTTTCTTTGCAGGGTGAATTTTTTTTCCTTGTGAAGATTTTAGTTCAAATCCAGATTTCATTGACAAGTTTTGACATTTTTCTTGGGGGTCTTATGGTTAAGGCAGAAAGACATAAGTTCAGGAGCACTAGGCTCAATTTAGATTTCCTACATGACCTTGGTTAAATTGCGTAATCTCTCAGTGCCTCAGTTCCCTTTTTGCAAAAAGGGGATTATACCTTTTCCTTTCTTCCACGCTTTCTTCTGACTTGGCAATCGTAATCATAACCCTTTGGGACTGTGTCTTACCAGGTGTTTCTACAGCATCTAGCACAGTGGGATCTTAATCATGGCTAATGCCTCTAGGCACTGGGAATTATTTGTATAATAAAATAAAACATCATCATCATCATCTGGCAATGTGTTGGTGAGAATCCAGAGAACCACAAAAATAGAAGGCAAAATCTAAACAGGTCCCTTTTCTCACTTTATTATAATGGTATGCCAAATTGACACCTCCCTCCCCGTATCAGGAATGTAAAATCCCATTTCATTGGTTAACTGGTTAAATGTGAAGTTTAACTGGTTAACCCCGCGTTTCTCAAACTGTGGGTCCCGACCCCCTGGGGGGGAGGTCACAAGCAACTTAGAGGGGGATCGCGGTATCACACAGTTTGAGAACCCCTAGGTTAATCAATAAAAGGGGGGGCACTCTTGCAGAAAGGGGTTGCTTCAGCCCTGGCCTGTGGCCCCCA